TCTTTCCCTCATGTCTGTGTAGGTTCTCAGTCATCCAGGTCATTTAATTCAAAAAATAGTTACATCAAAAGCAACTGGACAAAGTAGGTTTTTTTTCTTCTTCTTCTTTTGAAGACGTTTCACCTCTCATCCAAGAGGCTTCTTCAGTTCTGGAGAACTTTTTTCTGGATTCTTTAGCTCATATTTTCAGGGATCTTTACTGGACTGAACGTCTAGACATGCTAATGAGAGTCTTACACAACCTGCACTGAAAGCTCTAATGTGTTCTGTCATCAACACAAACACAGGGCCGGGCCTCCAGCAGCTCACATAATGACAATAAAACCTAAGATTCACAGAGACAGAGTGCTTCTGAATCACCTTCTCAGCCTGTGTAAACTGGCTCTCGACTAGTAATTAGTTTAGATAAAAAGCAGAGGCAATCTAGAGCAACAGCAGCAGTAGCAGCAATTCAGACAACAACAGCAGCAGATTTCTTAATCTCCTTTGCACTGGCTGTAAGACGGAGCACATGAGGAGCTCTGGAGCAACAAAGAGCAGGAAAACAAAGGCTGTTTTTGTTGATTTACTGTTATCAAAGCAGGGATTGTCGTCATTGTTGTGCCCCACTCTGTGTCCACTTTTGAAGGTCCAATTTGTAGAAAAATGGAATGACATTGGTGTGAACGGGGTGGAAAAACCATTCTTTGTACATGATGGGTGAGAGATGGANNNNATGGCAAGTCGGCAGGCCTCTAACAGTTCATGCTGCTGGTGGAGAACAACCGTGTTCTGGTTTCACACCAACAAGCCAATTCAGCCAAGGTGGAGGAGGAACGACTTGGCGCCTGCTGGGGGCAGCCTGAAAACAGCATTCTAAATTTCCCGAAGGGAACTCCCAAGGGATTAATAAAGTGCGATCTATCTATCTGAGGAATGAGATAATATTATATAATATTTTTATTTGGCTTAATTAATTAATTCCGAGCAACAGCCTCTGTCAGCAGTGCACATCTCATTGACCTTTATTTAAATGTGACTCATGGCTCTTTATATTTTTTTTTACTTACTCTCTCATTATCTCTGACCTACACATTTCCTGCCACAGACATTTCGACCTGAACATGTAGTAATTCCGCAGATGTTCAGCCCATGCAGCAGTTATCCATGGTGACATTTCATTACCAGGTTTCTCGACTTGAACAAAGCCCACAGGTCTTTATTTCTCTTCATCTGACCTTTGATTCAGCTACTGTCCTGTACGGTGTTTGGAGTAGAGGTTACAATCTTTTCCATGGAGGAAATTAAAATACAAAGGATATAAATAGTTAAAATGTCAAACCTACCTATTTTTAACAAGCAAACAGGACACTGAACATAACGGAGAAAAGCTGCTACACAGGCACTATTGTGCCACTAGAGGGCAGTAATGCCACATAGAAGTAATTTCTAATTTTTTTACTAGGAATCTCTTGTAAGACTGAGACAAACTACTTCTTCATTAATATAATATAATATTATTTAATATAGAATTATGTTTTCATTAAACATAAAAGGATTAGATATAACAAAAAAAATCATTTTATTTGACATGTATGTATAGGGTCTTATAACAGTAAATCTTTATTGACATCAATTGGTGGCTATGCCAATAAAAAATTACAAACATGTCATGTTCTTAGTTTGAAAAACACCTGATCGACAGGGCGGTTCTGATTTTTTTTTTCAAAGTCAATTTTACAACACATTTTGTACTTACCAGTGTTAGCTTGGTACATTTGGTGCACTTAGAGCAGATAATTTAGGGGTCTGACATTTGGGGTCGATGTGCAGATGTGCATTTGTCCACACCTGCAGAGACAAGAATGTCATTTTATTTCATACATTTTTAATAATTGGACATAATATTATGGGTTTTAATACAATGTAATCTCTAAAGTTGCTTTATTGTCTATTGCTTGTCTGTGGTTGGTGCCTAGTCCTTGAATATCCAACTTTAACTCAGGTTTTACATAAACTCCTTAGTTATTCTTATTATATCTTTTCAGTCTTTTTTATATACTGCCCTCTGCCCTTCAGTCTTTTTTATATACTGCCCTCTGGGGTTTAGACTGCTGAAACCTACCACAGGTAAAGGTTCTGACCGATAAACTGGGTCAAACAAGTAAAAATAAAACAAAACAAAAAACCCAGCAATAGCAATAATTTACTGTGAGTGTCTTCTCACTCAGATGACTTGGTCAGATAACAGACCGCCTTTTCCCTGCAGCGTTTCACTCCATTCCTGACAATTAAACACATTTAGTGAACAGCTTTCATGAACGAGAATCGTCTCCATGTGTGTTCATGTTCCTCAAATGACAGCGGCCATCACTGGCGTCGTGTTTTGGAGGATTTAGAGCAGACTCTCAGGA